GGTGAAACCCCCCTCTACTAAAGATACAAAAACTAGCTGGGCATAGTGGCAGGCACCTGTAATCTCAGCTGCTCAGGAGGCTGAGGCAGGAGAATGGTGTGAACCCAGGAGGCAGAGCTTGCAGTGAGCCGAGATTGCGCCACTGCACTCCAGCCTGGGTGACAGAGTGAGACTCCGTATTTAAAAAAAAAAAACAAAACCCTGGATTCACCCCCTGAGATGCTGATAATCTATAGTTTGAGCCATCAGGAATTATTCATGTTCTATCCTTTTTGACTTACAAAAATCAGTGCAGGGATGTGCTAGAATGAGCTCATACCTGTTCCCAAAGGCTGATTGCTTAGTTTTCCAGAATTTTTTGAGCCAGTTTTGAAACAGAGACTGTTAAAATTAAATCGTATAAACTTAAAATTAAATAGGTTATATTAAAAACAAAGGTAATCTGAATGCAATGTGGTATGCTAGATTGTATCTCGGAACAGAAATAGGACATGAGTACAAAAACTGGTGAAATCTGAATTGTTCATGGTTTACTTAATAGTAACATATCAATGTTAATTTCTTAGTTTTGACAAATGTACCTTATCATAAAAGATATTAACATTAAGAGAAATGCAATGAAAGGCATATAAGAAATACTAACTTTGCAACTTCTCTGTAAATCTAATAATAACTATATAAATAACTACTCCAAAATTAAAAGTTCACTTTGAAAAGCTAAACCTAGTCCCTTCCTAATAATTTCATTGTATGCTATGATATCTAAGTTCTTCATTCTTTATATCTACTGTGTCTGTGTGATGGAAATATTATATAACGATTTGCTACCGCACATGTCTCCCTAACTGCATTTCCATGACATCATGTTGGCAGATTGAAATCAGCTATGATGAAAGTATTTGTGGCACAGAAATTGGCAAATGCTACAAATTAGCCCCACCCCACTGACAACTGGTTGTTAAACATTTGCCAGCGTACCATGGTTCAGCCTCATATGGAAGACCCCTTTCAGCAATACCACTTTCTGATCACCCAGGAAAAAAGTGGTCTGCAGCTATTATTGACAGCCTAGATCTTTCTATTTTTCTTTGATAAAAATGAAAATATTAAATTTTTATGTGGACAGGGTTAACAGTTTTTGAATTATTTTGTAGCACAGGGAGAAAATGTTTAATAGCGCGTGACCCCTCCACTTCCTTTCGGAAGTAGTTTTTGGCAAGGTATTGGTATGTAGGAGACAGTGTGGTGCAGTACCATATTAAACCACAGAGAGGCACTGTTCCCACACGTTTTTTCCTGGCGTCCCCTGAAGTCACAGACTCCTAGAATGTTGGAAGGGACTACTCAGCACCCCAGATTCTTAAATAGTTTTTAACTGTAGGTTGCTACACACAAACTATTAACAGGGATTATCTCAAGAGCAAGTAGAATTAGGTATAACTTCACTGTCTTTGCTTTGTTTTATATTTACTTATAGCAATTATTTTACCTTTGTAACCAGGAAAAAATAAATGCGTAAACAATGAATTCTGAGGTTGTGATTTCCAGGTGTCTGGCTTACCTTTCCATGGTTGGTTGACTGTTAAGCCATGGTTTATGTGTTTTAGATGGCCGATCGCAACTGCAGTCGAATGTCTTACTATTGCTCTGGCAATAGTGATGTTCCAAGTTCAACTACAGCCCCAAGGCCAGCCAGCAAAAAGGTACCGAACAGAGCAATGTGAGAATCATCACGGGATAAGAACAGAAGGACTTCCTCATGCCCTCACACTGTGCTTGAAAATAGTCAAAGTGCTCCCCTGCCTGGTCCTGTTGTGCCCGCACACACACACACGCGCACGCGCACACACACACGCGCACACACACACACCACACTTTTGCAGCCCTGTCGTTTACCCCACATTTGACCACCTAACTACCCCTTAACTCAGTGTTTCTTTCACTTTCTCATGCATCAGAATTACCTGGAAGCCTTGTTAAAACTCATCGCTGGACCCTACCCCCTGAGTTTCTGATTCAATAGATCTGAGCTGGAGGCTCAAGAATTTGCATTTCTAACAAGTTCCCAGATGATGCTGGTCCAGGACCACACTTTGAGAACCACTGCATTAGCCTCCTTTTAGTAGAGAGAAAGCTGGGGACAGTTCATCCTTGACAAAAGTGAATGGCAATAATTAGGTATCATTTGTTTCAATACTATATAAAGTAATATGAGATGCTTCCTTGTAATTCTTCACAATCAGCCTTACCTATGAGTTCAGAAACTTTAAAAGCTGTTAAACTGCTTACCAGGGTTTTTAAAGCAATAAAATCCCCAATCATAGTCACAGCCTGTGTGGTCTGAGGGATGGAGTTGAAAAAAGCTGTCTGCCCCAAGTTTCCTGTCTTCTAGGCACCGAAGAGTCTCACCATTATAGTAGCTACTGAAGTTTTTAATGTAATGTATTTATTACATTACATTATTACATTACAAATGTAATAAAAGTACATTTACATTTAATGTAAAAGTACAGTTTACATTTTAAATGTAAAATTACATTTAAAAATGTAAATATGGCGGGGCACAGCTGCTCACACCTATAATCCCAGCGCTTTGGGAGGCCGAGGTGGGTGGATTACCTGAGGTCAGGAGTTCAAGATAAGCCTGGCCAACATGGTGAAACCCCCCTCTACTAAAGATACAAAAACTAGCTGGGCATAGTGGCAGGCACCTGTAATCTCAGCTGCTCAGGAGGCTGAGGCAGGAGAAT